AAAATTTTAAATGCTGGGAGGTAGACAGTTAGAATGGTGCTATTGTCTTTGTTTAGATAAACTATCACATTCTGTATAATTTTTGTATCTTTGTATGTCATCTAATAAACTCAAAACAAAAAAATTGTTAGGTATGTTTTATAGTGATAAAAAGATTTACCCAGATGCAACCTTATAAACATGTGTCTTACATAGAATACACGAACCACATACTGGCAGAACTATAAAAGGAGAAACAAGTGATTCAGCAATAATGGTTGGAAATTACAATATTCCACTTTCAGTAAAGGAGAGAACTAGAGAGATCAACTAGAAAGATTTTTAGGATATTATACAGGCCTAGTGAGGTAGCCTAGCAACAAGTCAACTTGCATGCTCCAGGATCCCATATAAGTGCAATTGGTGTTCCGGCGCCCCACTTCCCTTTCAGCTCCCTGCTTGTGGCCTGGGAAAGTAGTTGAGGACGGCCCAAAGCTTTGGGACTCTTCACCCACATGGGAGACCTGGAAAAGGCTCCTAGTTCCTGGCTTTGGATTGGCTCAGCTGCAGCCTTTGTGAATCAGTGGTTAGAAGATCTTCCTCTCTGTATATCTGATTTTCCAATAAACAAATATATTTTTTTAAAAGGTATTATACACCAACTGAAGCTAACATATTCCTAAAACATTTTATTCAAAAATGATAGAGTACACATATTTCTAAATATGCATGAAGCATCATCCAGGGTGTGCTACATGCTAGGCCACTAAACAAACCCCTGTAAGTTCTAAAAATGGGAACAATCCAAATTATATTTTCCAGCCCTAATGAAGGAAATTGAAATTTGTAGCAGGAAAGAAGCAAGTGTGTGGAAATTTAATAACAGTTTTTAAAAACCAGTGAGTCAAAGAAGAAATCACAAGAGGAATCTAAAAAGTCTTTGAGATGAATTCGAAGATACCGCATACTAAATCTCCCAGGGAGTGCAGCCAATGCTATTGTTCTTAGGAAAATTTATAACTCTAAATGCCTTTCATAGGAAACAAGAAAAATCACAAGTTATTAGGTTACTTTTCATTTTAAGATGTTTTCCTTTCTAAAGCAGTCAGAAAAAAATAACAAAAAGTAGGGAATAAATTAGAATAATAGAAGAAAAAGAAACAGAACCAAATAATGAGTCTTTGAAAATATCAAGAAGACATATGCATTTAGTAACATTAACCAAGGGAGGAAAAAAGTACTAAAGACTTTGCCATCAATCTTACAACTTGATAGTTTCTCAAAAAGTTATATGGAGAGTTACCAGTATAGCTTGACAGTTCTCAGGATATATCCAAAAGAAGTTAAAACATGCCCATAAAAAAGTATATGCAATACTCATGGCAGCATTGTTCATAGTAACCAAAAGATAGAAACTGCCACAGTTAGTATAGCCATTCCTCAGTATGTTACTCAGCAGTAACGAGGAATGAAGCAGTGATGCAAGTTGCAAATTAAAAAGATTGTGAGATTAATCTCAGTAAGAAATTTGGGGGTGGGGAAGGGACATCTTTGTGTACTACTCTAGAATAATCTAAAAATGTATTTGTTTATTAAGAAGGCAAAAGGAGAAGAAAATAAGAATATCCCATTACCATATAAGTAGTGGTGGTAACATGAATCTAAAAGTGTAATAAAATGCGTAGAACTAGGGTAGACCTTGGAGTAGAAGTTAAGGCACAACTACGACCCTCACATCCTGGGTTTGGGTTCTAATTCCGGCTCTCTCCCAGTTCTAGCTTCCTGCTAAGGTGTACCCTGGATGGCAGCAAATGATGGCTCAGTTGGTTGGCTCGCTGCCCCTCTTAGGGAAGACCTAGGCTGAGCTCCTGGCTGTGTGGACATTTGAGGAATGTACCAGAAAATGGGAGTTTGTTCTCTTATCTCTGCCTCTCAGATACATAACATTAATTGGAAGATGAAAAGAACTGAATAAAGCAATTTATAGAACTATATAATTGGAGAAAAAAAAAGAGGGGAAAAAATCCAGAAAAACAGCAGTTTCCCCTAATAAGAAAATCAAATTTTTTTAAAATCAAATTTTAAAAAATAATTGCTTGCAAGCCTGGTGCTGTGACCTAGCGGCTAAAGTCCTCTCCTTGAATGCGCCAGGATCCCATATGGGTCTCGGTTCTAATCCCAGCAGCCCTGCTTCCCATCCAGCTCCCTGCTTGTGGCCTGGGAAAGCAGTTGAGGATGGCCCAAAGCTTTGGGACCCTGCACTCGTGTGGGAGACCTGGAAGAGGCTCCTGGCTTTGGATTGGCGCAGCACCAGCCATTGTGGTCACTTGGGGAGTGAATCATCAGATGGAAGATAATACTTTCTCTCCTCCTCTCTGTATATATCTGACTTTACAATGAAAATAAATAAATCTTTAAAAAATAATAATTGCTTGCAAAAAAAGGAAAAGCCAAGATTAGTTTGTGATTAAGTTGATTCGTTTTAAATTTTTTTTAGTATGAGGAGATTAAGTGACAGGAAGTGTTAGAGCAGAAGAGTCCCTGGTCTGTTTCTGTAACTATAAAATGAGAGTTTGGGGCCCAAAGGCTGATACATGGTAGTGATTACAAAGATTTTAAAGCCTTGCAATGTTGAGGTTCTCACTAGGCTTCTAATCTTGGATCTTTTATTTTATCTGAGCCTCTGGGGATAATTACATCCCTATCTAATGTAACTGCTGGCAGGATTATGTATATATACCTTAATGTACCTTATGTAGAATAATGCCTGTTGTAAGCCAGGTGCAGGCTGTTAGGGCTAATGATCTGCTGTGATGTGATCAACTTATGTGGCACTGACATTCCCAGATAACGTCAGGGCTGGAGATGCAGGTTAATTATTTCTTTTCTAAGACATTGCTAAGTAGATGGAACGACATACCAGAGGAGAAAATGAAAAGGACATATACATGGCAAGGGCAGAGTGTTGAGCACTTACACTAGAAAACACGAGACAGGAGGGTCTCAGAGGGTCCAACCAACAAAAGAACATTCGGAGAAAAACTAGGAGGTGCTCTCAGGAGAGCCCGCAGAACAGAAAAGATCAAGGGAAGATGGTCTTTCAGAATAGAGACCACTTGAAGCAAGTCTGAAGGTTTATAAAATTGTGTGATGGGAAGGGAGAAGTTGAAGATGAAAGCAAAGGGAATTAATTGATGGAACACAGTTCTCTGTAAGTGGCATCTTTAGCCTCCAGAGGAGGGAAGATAATTTCTTTCTTTGAATTAGGATAAAAGAGGGAACTCATATATGCACAGAAACTTTGAATTGGAAAATTTGGAAATCAGGGAAGCTCATGTTAGCCTCAATTTGTTTCCAATAAATAGAAAGCAAGAATGCCTAAAGTGCGGGAAGGTACATAATAAAACTGAGAAGAGTTTATATGTTTTCTGTAATTCTGCCCTTTAATATGAGTGGGAAGCAAATGACCCATTTCAGTTATGATAGATAATATGAATATTGATTGGGCCTTTAATATCAGCAAGGTACCATCCTTAGAGCTCATTTGAAACTTAAAACATCCCTAAGAAGCAACTGATATTGGTAGCACTTTCCACATACTGGAGAGTGATACAAAAAGGAAGGGAAATTGCTCATTGTTACCGGCTGATCAGGGCAGCACCGGGGTTGAACACGGGAGCTGCAAGCTGTGCTCTTAGTGAACATGCTTTCTGGGCTTTTACTTTCAGATTTCATCAAAGCAGTGAAATGTTGGCTCAAAAATACACATAGATTAATGGCATAGGAAAGTGCATAAAAATAGCCTATGGAATACACTGGAATATAATTTTAATCAGATTAACATTTTAAACAAGAGAAGAGAGGATAGTTTGATGGATGTTACTGTCTGTTTGACAAAATAATGAATTTTGACCATATATTTTGAAAAACATTTAATAGAAATCAGGATCCTGATTGTGGGACAGTGTAGAAACTGACAGAGCCACAAGGGAACTTTCCTAGTGATAAGAATGTTCTGTGGTTTGAAGTGCTGATTGCATGGGACTTTTCTGGGCCAAATATAATCAAATTATACATTGATTTTTTTTTTAAGTTTACTTATTTGAAAGGCAGAGTTAAAGAGAGAAAGGGAAAGATACAGATTCTTCATCAGTTGGTTCACTCCCCAATTGGCCTCAGTGGATGGGGCAGGGCCACCCAAAGCCAGAAGTCTGGAACTCTACCACGTGGGCCCTCTGCTGCTTTCCCCAGGAGTGTTAACAGCGAGCTGGTTGGAAATGGAACAGCCAAGACTCAAGCCATTGCTAACGCGAGGTGCCGGTGCCCTATGATGTCAGCATCTGTTTTATCTGTTTTAATAGAGCAAATCTGCATGTAGATATACAACACACTGTTAAGTAGAAAAAAAGTATGAGACACAGAGTAGGCTACCATTTATATAAAGAAAAAAAATGGATAATTATCACAGAACAAAATTACTTCTGTGGATCCATACTCACATAGTAAATATAAAACCTGTCCCCCTTCATCAGCACTACTAGTATCATTCTTGCATGTTCTCAAGGTTTCTTTCTAAGCTACAAAGAAAGACTTTTATATTTTAACATCTACAGCATAAATGCCATATTCTCCATTGAGTATTATACTCACTGGTATATTCTCCAGCTTGAAGAAAAAAAAAAAAGCGGCCCTGGCTCTGTAGTGATTTTCATCCTGGTGCTGGTGTACCCTAGGAGGCAGCCTTGCACGCGGGGACTGCCCCACGACGCCGTCGGCTCGCGTGCGTGCTTTCTGAATGCTGCGGGTGATCGGCTGTTTCGGGAGGAGCCCTTCCCCTCTCTCAGCCTCGGTTCCTTTTGGCTGAATAAATGCACTGCTGAACTCAGGCTCTCTCTGCCAGGCCCAGCATTTAGTGAGCCCTGTTCATTCACACAAATATCACGTAAAGTAGGTCGCTCAACCCCACAAGAATATGTAGAAAGTAAGGTGTCTTTTGTTATCAATTTTATGTTTTGAAACAGGTGACAACCAAAGCCAAGCAGCTGAAGGACTCAGTTACCACCTCCCCAGGTGAGTGAGTTGCTGCTTTATCCCACTAAAGTAGGTACTTCAAAATAAATCTCTTTTTAAATGACTTCTTTAAACATAATGCAGTGGTGGTTTGGTGCTGTGAACTCTAGTGGTCATATGTCTTTTTATATCTTAAAAAGTACTGAATTGGGCCCAGCAGCTAAAGTCCTCACCTTGTACACACTGGGATCCCGTATGGGCGCCAGTTCTAATCCCAGCAGCCCTGCTTCCCATCCAGCTCCCTACTTGTGACCTGGGAAAGCAGTCGAGGATAGCCCAAAGCTTTGGGACCCTGCAGCCGCATGGGAGACTTGGAGGAGGCACCTGGCTTCAGATTAGCCATTGTGGCCACTTAGAGAGTGAATCAGCGAATGGAAGATCTTTTTCTCTGTCTCTCCTCTCTGTATATCTGCCTTTCCAATAAAAACAAATCTTTAGGGAAAAAAAGTACTGAATTGGGTCTGGCACAATAGCCTAGTGGCTAAAGTTCTCACCTTGTATGTGCCAGAATCCCATATGGACATACCATTTCTCTCTGTGTATCTGACTTTCCAATTAAAAAAAAAAAAGGATGCATGTAAGAGGCAGAATTTTTGCCTTGCAGTTAAGATGCCCAGATCCCATATCACTTCTTTTGCTGCCTCTGACCCCTGACTGCACATTCGTACTCACACAAACCTTGGGGTACAGCAATGATGGCTAGATCATTGGGTGCCTGCCACCCATGGGGGAGACCTCAGCTCTGGAAGCGGCAGCACGAGCTGTTACACTTGCTCTCTCGATTGGAAGAGAAGGAGATTTGAAATTGTTTCCTTAAAATTGCAGGTTGAAAGAGTTTGAAATGTAAAGGTTTAGGTAAATAAAACTGGGTTAATAGGGCAACACAGAATGTAGAAATGGCCCACTACAGATAACAGTCACAACCAATTCAAGTTTTGGACACTCTCTTAGAGCTGTGATGGTAAGCATGGAAAGAAATGCTCTTAGTATAAACTTAAGAAAATATAGACAAATAAAAGGGTAAGGTATAAGCCACATACATCAGCCACAGATATTTGATAGCTTTACATTTTTCCTGGTAATACTTCATTTCAGCTAATATTTTCATTTTTAAATGTTTATATCTTTGAAAGACAGGAAACATCATCTACTGGCCTGCTCCCAAATTTCCTGCCGAAAACAAGGCTGAGCCAGGCCAAAGCAGTTAGCGCAGAAGGCAGTCTGGGTCCCCCACGTGGGCGGCAGGTGCCTAAATACCTTCTCAGCAGGTGCAGAAGCAGAGCCAGGACTCAGACTCAGAACCCCAAAAAGATGCAGTCATCCAAAGCAGCGTTGTACCTGCTGTGGTAAACTCCAACCTACTTGATGTTTCTGGATTAATTTTTCACTTTATCTTTAAATTTCATCTGTGTTTTTATAATAAATATGCTGCTAATCTGATGTAGATATTCACAAGTGAAGGAAGCATATATTGAGTTGTAGATTCACAAGTGCTCTTGATGGGATATGCAAGTGTTGAGCATGGAGATCATGCTTAATGAAATGTGGCTTATATGTTAATAGCAAAAGCCTGGCACCAATCTAAATATTTGTACATAAGAAACTAAGTCATGACATTCATTCATTCAGTGATTCATGCACTCATTAAAAGCAATGCAAATCTACATGAGGATAATATCCAAAGATCATGTCATTACACTAGGAGGAGGTGGAGGCGGCAAATAGAAATACATAGTATGTGCTTGTGTAATTGTGTCTCTACACATGTATACACTAGCACACTAGCAATAAATTCTGCACATAATAAAAAATTCTAGGCCAGAGTTAAGAAACTACCTGAGATGCTGGCATCCCATATTGGAACACTGGTTTGAGTTCTGAGCTTCTCAACTTCCAATCCAGCTTTCTGCTGAGGCGCCAAGGAAGGCAGCAGAAGATGGCCCAAGTACTTGGGCTGCTGCCACTCACGTGGGAGACAGGTGGACGGAGTTCCTGGCTCCTACCTTCAGCCTGGTGTAGCCTTTGCTATTGTGGCCCCTGGGGGAGGGAACCAGCAGACGGAAGCTCTTTTTGTCCGTTTTTTAATTCAAACAGTATAAAAGATAACAGTAAAAGATTTTTTTCAGTATGGGTGTACCACCTTCTCAGGTCTGGCCAGCTCTGGCCTTTACATCCATTTGGGGAATGAAGCAGTGAAAAGAAGATGGCAGTTGTTTTTTCCTCCCTCTTCAACCGAACAAATCTTTAAAAACTCTTAGTTCTGCAGTGACATTATCAAACAATTAATAGACTCACAGGTTCTTTTATTGGACAGCCCCAGGCTGGACCAGTCTCCGCTTCCACCACCAAATACAAATATGTTCTTTTTAGCATCTTTCCCAAAGCTGAGTATCATTGTACTTTCTGATATTTATCAGTTTGATCATTGGAAAGTGACTTGGGGCATGCACTGTGTCACAGCAGGTCAGTCTTTCCGTTCTGCCTTTCCAATAACTTCTTTTTTTTAAAAAAAAAAAAAGTGATATTTGGCTACTTTAAAGGTGGTAATTGAAGTTTCTCTTTTTCTAATACTTGTGTTTCTTCCTTGTGTATTTTTCTTCTTTCTCCTTTTATGTTGCTATAACCGTCAGTATATTGATGTCCTTTGTAGATAGTGATGCTCTGTCTGCTGTTCTGTCCTATTGGAGGAGCTTTTTATTGTTGTTCCACTTACTCAAAAGGCAAAGGACAGATACAGAGAAAGGTCTTTCAACCCCTAGTCCATTGCTCAAATGTTCAGAACTCCATCCAGGTCTCCCGTGTGGGCAGCAGGGGCCCAAGAACTTGAGCTATCACCCACTGTCTCCCAGGACACACAGGCAGGAAGGACTTGGCTATGGGACACGGGTGTCCCAACCACTCCCTATTTAAAGGCCAAGGTTTTTAATAAACTTGTTTCCCATGTTTAGCTATGCTAGTGAAACTAATGGAAACATTGTATTGTGAAGAACATTGTTTCTTATCCGGTAAGTAAATTATTCCTTCTCAAAGAGATCTTTTCTGTTTTGCGCTCACAACCTGATTCTGTGTGTATTCATTGTACCTCAAATAAGTGAAAAAGACTTGGAATCAGACAGCTGGCTCAAATGCCACCTCTATTGTTGCCTGAAACTTCTTTTCCTCATCTGTAAAATCAGGGGAATGAGGATCAGACGTCCTGCAGTGGTACTGTGCTGCATCCCATAGGCAGGTGCCTGCTTCCGACCTCAGCTCTGCTCCCAGCTCCAGCTGCCTGCTAATTCCCAGTCTGCAGGGCAACAAGTGATTCCAGTGCTCGGAACCCTGCCACCCTCACAGGCAACCAGGATGGAATTCCAAGCTCCTGATTTTGCCTTGGCCCAGCCCTAGCTAGGGGAGTGAAGCAATGAATGGAAAATCAGTCAAGCAATCTAAATATCTCTCTCTGCGTGTGAGTGGTTTAAGTCTGACTTTCAAATAAAATGGAAAGATAAAAACATAATAAAATTAAATGGTATCTTCAGAAATGCCTAACACGCTGTCCCACTGTGCGGTGAGTGCTGGGCAGCAGCTTCTGCCACTTGACTTGACTTCTCTGTTGTTGTGGCCCGTCTAGGAATGGTTCGACTGTCTGAGCTGAAATCCACAGTTCAGAATTCCAGGCCCGTCAAGACAGCTGCAGCCTTGCCAGATGACATCATCACCCAGCGAGAAGCTGCTCAGGGCACCCAGGAGGAGGACCTGGGGGAGCAGGAGGCAGAGGTGGGAGAAGCCCAGCTGCGGAGGCGGAAGCCAGCCAGACCCCGTGACCAGGCTGCGAAGGCGGAGCCTGAGGAGAAGTTCCGAGGGAAGAGGCAGAAGGATTTTGATTTGTCCGAGCAGAATGAATCCAGTGATGAGGAGAGCCAGAAACAAGACAGAAATGGTGCCGCTGAGGAGCCATGGACTCAGAACCAGCAGAAGCTTCTGGAGCTGGCGTTGCAGCAGTACCCCAAGGGCTGCTCTGAGCGCTGGGACAAAATTGCCAAGTGCGTCCCGTCTAAGAGTAAGGTGGGTGCTGAGGGACAGGAAGGGCCTTTCCCCGGTATGAGAATCCTGCAGTGGCTTTGGCCCACCTTCTGCTCCAGCCTGTTCTCTTCCTTCTCTTCGCTGCTGTTAACACATGGTTTCTTGTTGGCCCATTCCCTGCCAACACATTTCTCCTCCAGCCTGAGAGCTGGCACTCCCAGGTGCCCAGCATGGGTACAAAGGCCGGGTTTCAAGGGGGGTGATTACAGCAGCGGGCTAGTAAACTTCACCAGCTCCAAGCCGCCTGCTTTCCTGAGAATGTGCAGTTTAAGAAATTGGGGTAGGCCTGCAGGCTGCCCACATCCAGGGCCCAGGGCAGGCCTGGCTTTAGGACAGGTGAAGTGGGCAGCCTTCTGAGGGGGGCACACCATTGTTCACAGGCCAGGCTAGAGTTCTGCGTGAATGACCTTGACTTCTGAGATTCCACTTACCCTTTATGATCAGAGCTGTTTAGAATGGGTGTTTGTCTTGTGTATAGCTAAGAATTCTCAAAAACCCACAAGAGGTAAGAGTGGGTGCAGCCCATGGGAAGCCAGCCCCCAATCCAGGTTTTGGGCTTCTCTTGGCACAGTTTGGATGTTTGGAGCTCTAGGATGTGATTTTTCCTGACCCATAAGCCTTTCCTTGTAGCTGCATGGAAGGTCTGAGGCAGCAGGAGTGCTGAGAAAGCGCAGCTCATCTCTGGGCCCGTGCCTGTCTCACAGTAGCCTCTGACTATACCAGGACTCATTCACATTCTTTTATTTAATTGAAATTCTGTGCTGGAAAATCTAGCTTGTGGCCACGAATGTTACCTAGGTGCACAGGTGAAATTTATCTATCACCTTTAAAATCATGAAGTTGAGCATTTTGGAGGGAGAAAGATAAAACATTAGCAATTGATGCATTTGGGAAGCAAGATTCTCCCATTTTTCTCTACCTCATTTGCCAGAAGTTGTTTTCCCTGGATTCCCCTCTCAGCTGTCAGGACACAGGCATTTACATGTGTAATGAATGACATTGGCTTGAAAAGGAGGAGCCGGAGCTGTGGATTCCAAAAGATAGAGCGTGCACTCAGTAACTCATTGCCCCAGGGTTGGAAACCTGCCTGTTCCCAACCAGAAGTAGGCAGGATTTGATTGGCTTGCAGGTGTGCCCTGAGTGCCTACTCCAGAACAGGTCCAGAGGTGCTGTCCGCTGGCCCCACTGCCCCAAGCCAGGCAGCAGTAGCTCCCACCAGCTGCTGTGTGAGGACCAGAGGCCTGCAGCCAGAACCTTTGCCCAAGCCTGCCAGGTCCAGAGCGCAGGTCCTCCTCCCCGGTGAGTGCCAGCCCGGCTGCATGCAGTGCCTTGCACTACCCAGTTAAGGCACAGCATTGCTACAGAGGAAGGGCTGGGTTTTAAATACATATATATTTGAAAAACAGAAGCAGAAAAAAAGATCTTCCATCAGTTGACCCTTTCTCCAAAGCCTGTAACAGCTGGGGCTGCGTCAGGTCAAAATCAGGAGCCTGGAAGTCTACGAATGTCCCTCACTTGAGTGACAAGGCCCCAAGCATTTAAACTGTCATCTTTCACCTCCCAGGGTAACATAAGCAGTAAGCTGCAGCCAGCAGCAGAAGTGGGACTCGTATATGGGATGCAGCCGCAGGGGTCCTAAGCAGTGACAGCTACCCCACACTGGTGTGTCTGTAAGGACCTGAACTAGTCTCTGGGAATACAGATGATACTTCTAGAAGAGGCTTTTATTACACTGCTAATCAAAAGTTCTCAGAAGAGGATGAGCATCGTTCCCTGACCAGGGAGAGAAAGTCACCTGCTGTAGAGCAGATATCACTTCTTCAGTCAGCAAAGGCTGGTGTGACCTCAGCAAGTACCTGCTGAACAAAACAGACTCTGGAGACCCATGAGGGTGATGAGGTCCCCTGCCCAGCCCAAGGTGGGAGGCGGGAAGGCCCTGAGCCCTGTAGCTGCTCTGAGGTGGCCTGGGACGTGTACCTCCCTTACAGCACCGGGCCGGGGCTGCTGAGGCCGCCGCAGCAGCTCCCGTGGGCAGGCTGCTGTCTGCGCATGCTTCATGTGGTGATGAAGCAGTGCACTATTAACATGATAGAGTTCACAGGTTGAAAATCAAAATCGTAATGGTGACGTGCCTCACAGTGCCACGCAAAGAACACCTTCACCTTGGCCGGGACTGCTGCAGGCCTTGTCACACCTGGCTAGTCAGTCCCACCTTGTGGCCAGCCTGAGTGGTCCAGAAAATTCCAAGAGGTCGTGGGCAAAGGGAACGCGTGGTGCTTGCTCATTAGGCCAGACGCAGGCCAGCGAGCAGGTCCCAGCAGCTGCTGCACACGGAGGCCACGCTGACAGGGCAAGTAACTGCTCTCACCTCTCTTTTTTCCTTTCTGCAGGAAGACTGTATCGCTAGGTACAAGTTGCTGGTTGAACTGATCCAAAAGAAAAAACAAGCTAAAAGCTGAACATTCTGAAAGATGGTGTTCATCTTCATTTTCCAAATGAGTATTTTTTAAATCTTACGCAGAAATTTGCATTTTGTACCTCAGTATTTCTATACATCATGTGCCTTAGTAAAATTAAATAAATGAACAAACAAACAAGTGGTGTGCTAAATTGTTTAACCAGATGCTGTGTTCAGCGGGTAAAAGTATCGGGGTGTTTTACAGATTGCCGAACCTCTCAAAACTGCAGAGTGAACTCGTTAACAAATCAGTAGTGCTTCCCGACAGTCTGGCAGGTGTGTTTTTCAGAGATTATGAATTTAATGTGTTCCCATACAGCCATGAGCAAAAAACGCAGCCCCAGCTAATGCCTTTAGTGGGAGCAGGGTTGTGAGGTGCAGGCGCGTGGGGAGCCGTGACACCCCAGGCTGGGTTCAAACGGGGGAGCCTGGGGAAAGTCTGCATGACCATGGGTCGAAGTTGGAGAGCTTGCTAGAACCAAGTTCCCAGGTAGCAGAACTTCCAGAGAACATACAGGAAATTTTAGGGACGGATAATACCGAGTTGTCTTTTTTAGCGTCTTAGTTAAAAAGCTTGCCTTGTCCTGCGGATGGCTGTTCAAGTCTGACAGACTGCTTGTGGTGGAGCTCTCATCAGCTGTGCTTTCCTTTTCAAAGCTTCTGTCATTTTTTCAGGGCTTGCAGATAGTTGGTGAATGTAACAGCCCTAAATCTGCAAGCATTAAGATAACTAGGACACATTTAAGGGGATCTATTTGGTAAAATAACTAAAAGATACCGTTAAAAAATGTGTGTGTAGTTGAAATGAAGAAGGGCAGAGATATGGAGCCAGTGAGACAGATCTTTCATCTGCCAGCTTACTCCCCAGTTGGCTGCAACAGCTGAGACTGGGCTAGGGACAATGCAGGGGCCACTGCTTTCCAGCTGGAATGAGCAGTGGACCTGGGACTTGAACCCAGGCTCTCCAATGTGGGATGCCAGTAACCGAAGCAGCATCTTTGTGGCTGTGCCACACACCCCTCCCTTAAGATGCCATGTATCTCCAAGGCTTGAAAATAGATTTTTGTTTCCTGAAGCAGAGTGTGTGTGCAGAGTCACCCCGCCACCTGGGTATGTATCCACAGAGCAGGACCTGCAACCCGGGGCGCGTCTGGTATCCACTGCAGCTCAGCTCCCCAGTGGACTTGGTGGGGAACTTCCCAGTTGGAAGTCAAAAAGCAGTTGAAACAGAAAACAACAGTACCACCACCAGCTACTCCTGTCTGGAGGATCTTGTGGCTTTCAAGGACCTGCCTGAATGCTGGGGCAGCTCGGCTCCAGGGGAAGGGGAGGAGCCGCTGCTGGCAGGGAGGTGAGGAAAAGGGCCTGGGCATGGTCCCAGGCAGGCACATCTGCCTTCCTGCTGACACCAGCAGGGCCAGGGCAGACGGCTGCTCCCAGGAGCTCACGGGCCTTCCCTGCTGGCTGTGGCCCACCTCCCACCTCCACATGCATCCAGGGACATTTCAGAGACTGGCACACGAACAAAGGAGACAAGTGGCTGTCCTGGCTGCAGCGAGAGTCCTGGGTGATCCAGCCTCCATCCCGTACTTCAGGCCGACATCCTGTGGACATCCTCTTTCGGTGTAAGTTGCCTTGCCTTGAGTGTTTTCATACCTCTTCCCCACCCCACAAGAAAAGGAAGCCTCGTTCAGTTTCTGCGTGTTGGGGCCCAAGTGCTGCTTGAGCCACACTGAGGCTGCAATCCCTTAATCTGCCACCCTTCCCATCTTGTCTGGACTCCCTGGGGAAAGAAAGCTCATGGTTTTCTCCTGATGCTTGTCTCTGCCTTCCAGGCAAGGGTGCGGCCTGCGTGGCTTCTGCTCTTGGGAAGAGCTTGGCTGACATAGAACCAGAGGCCGGGCCGGAGTGCAGTCACATCTGAGGCAGGTGAGAACAGCCATGGGGGTCATTGTCATGAAAACCAGTGTGCCTCCCAGGGGAACACAGCACACACTGCCTGGGGCCGCAGGCTGTAGTTCTTCCTGGCAGCCCTCGCGTGTGGCCTCTGCGAGTTCCTCACTTACCAGGCCCCACCCCGATGCCCTGCCATGTCCTTCCTAGGATCTGCCCTCTTCCACTCAGAAAACTGATACTCCCTGCTACCATCTGCCTGCCTCACCCTTCACCTGCTCTTCAGTTTTTGTGAAAACCAGCCTGTTTGACCTGTCACCCTTTTCTCTGCCTACCTTCAAAGTTGTAGATTGAGAAGTTGGCCATGGGCACCACTGTGTGAGACTTGCTGGTCTGTGCTACATGAGATCTGACTGTGAGCTGATACTGTCACAGCCCACTGTGGTCACACACCCCGGGCCGCAGCAGGTCGGGGCCCCACCCGTGTGAGGTCTCCCATGGCCGTGGACCTATCTGGGGCTGTCTCCAAGCCCACAGAGCAGCAGACTGTCCAAGCGTGTCCCAGTGTGCCTCACCAGCTGTCTCCCACCAGCGCCCACAAGCCGCCTGTGGGTCTGCTTCCTTTGCAGCTGACGTTGTGTGTGCGGCCACATCTGTGTGCACCTGTGGCGTCTGACCTGGCTGGAGGTCGGGGACACTGGCTCTCCTGTTGCCTGCTGAGCTGTGTGACATCAGGTGGGTTGTTTTACTTGTTTCCTGGCTGGGAGAAACTGACGGCAGTGGCTGCAGATGCTGCTCAGATGAAAAGATGAAGTGGTCTGTGGGAAACCCTTCACCCAGTGCCAGGCTAGAGGAATGTAACCCATGCAAAAGTTCTCCTTTCAGCACTGCCCCTTCCCCACAATCCTTTTTATTTGAAAGAGCATCAGAAAAGGAGGGCAGGGGAACAATTGAGAGCTCTTCCATCAGAGGACTGCCAACAGCTGAGGCTGAACCAGCCCAAAGCCATGAGCCAGGAATTCTGTCAGGGTCTCCCAGGTGGGTGACAGGGCCATGAGTAATTGGACAGTCCTCCACCGTTCTCCCAGTTACACTAACAGGATGCTGGAACTGAAGTGGAGGTCTTAGGACTCGAACCAGTTCTCCAATGTAGGATGTTGGTTCCCAAGTGGTGGCTTACCTCTCTGCACGCCACACTGTCCACCCCCCCCCCCGCCCCACCAGGATTTCTTCCAACAACCCTGGCTCCACTCACTCCCCATCATGTCCATGTAGCCGTCTCTGACTCTGGCAGAGCCAGTGGGCCAGCGTCAGGGTTCCCAGGCTCAGGATGTGGACTGGTGGGGAGGAGGACTTGCCTAGGAGTTGCTGACAGGCAGTCTTTGTGAAGTCTCCGACTGGTTGGTCCTCTGACCAATTCCTCTGAAGGAATCGTGTCTCTCACTGGGTGCCCAGGTGTCTCCCCCAGAAAGCCCAACAGCGTGCACTGTGTTTTTCACTCCAGAGCAGCCTTGGAAGGGCCAGGGTGGAGCGCAGGCAGAGCGGAGGCTGAACCGCAGGCAGGCCTGGGCGCACCCCTGTGGCTTCTCCCAGGGCGCATTTCCTTCCCCAGTCTCTCCAACCCTCCTTGGATGGGGTCTGAGGACAGAGATCAAGTCCATCCTGGACCAAGAGCTGGGAGGAAGGAGCCGGGGAGCAGGGTTTGTCCACAGAGCACATGCGCTTGGCCCCACAGGACTCGGTAGCTGTTCTCTTGTTCAGTTCCTCACATATTCTGGATAGTGTTTGTCAGAGATAACGTGCAAACATTTTCTCTGTTTTGGGGGGCGTTCTCTATCAGTAGCTAGCTTTGCTGCACAGCAGTTTTAGTTCAGTATAACCTCGTGTTTGGGTCTGCTTTCGTTGCCTGTGCCAATGTCCTGATATGTCACCCCTAAGTTTTCTTGGGGTATTTTCAGTTTCAGGTCATATTTATTAGGACTTTGGTCTGCTCTGAGCTGATTTTTATCTAGAGTGTGAGGTAAGCATTCAAGTTTCAGTCTTCTGTGTGGGGACACCCAGTTTCCCCCGCCCCCTGTACTGAGGCAAGTACTCCTACATGGGCCTTTTGTCACCTTTGCCAGCAGTCAGCTGGTGGCTGGTTGCAGAAGCAGGTTTTAGGCACAGTGGGTGCTGGCGACCGACTGCTTCCCGTCAGTGCACACACCAGGAGCCAGTGGCCCCGGCTGCAGGTAGCTGCATTCCTGCCGCACTGGGGAGGGCTGAGGCTCCTGGCTCTAGACCTGAAGTTTCAGACATGTGGGCAGTGAACTGGCAGCTGGGCTTGTCCTCTCATCTGGCTGTAGATATGTGGATTCTTCTTGGTGTTTCTATTTTGTTTCATCTATTTGTCTCTTTTTATTATTATTATTTTACTAGAAAGTTACGGGGGGAGAGGGGGGAGAGTGTGACAGTGAGAAATGTTCCAGCCATTGGTTCACTCCCAAAATGGCCACAGCAGTGAGTCCAGGAACCTCTTGCTCCAGTTCTCAGTCTCACTGGCGATGCTTCCAGCTTCTCGCCAATCCGCAGTTGCTGCGGGTTATCCGTACAGACTGAGTCATGTTGAGATGTAACTTTTTTATACCAAATTATCTTTAAGAGTTTTAATGACTTTGAATTTCATCAAATGCTTTCTTTGTATTTATAGAGATTATATCTATACATAAATACATTTATAAAATGTTAATATATAAAATATGCATTTTATATTTATCCTTTATCCTATTTATGTGATGTATTTTGGCAAGTACTTTAAGTCCAGAAATAATACTTTTTAGCATTCCTGTGGCCACCAAGGTCGCCTTGGGAGGGGCCGAGGCCCACACTGCTGTGGGCAGCTTGTTTGGAGAAGAACTTGTGGCTAGAGGCCACTGCAACTGATGTGAGCTGGCAACTACGTGCAGTAACTTGGGCCCAGTTGCCCACTTGGCACCAGGACAGGTCTGGCATCCCTGAGTTGGTACCAGCCCAGCATTAAGTTCCAGGACACAGTCCTGTGCTGGCTGGTGTGCTCTACTCTCCAGTGGCTGAAGTTTGGCTCTTTGGCCAAGGGCAAGGGAATTAGTCCTTTGGCTGCACCTGGGACTCACAGGGAGTGAGCCTGGCCTGTCAAGGCTGGCAGTGTTACAGGCCACAATGAACCTGCCCTACTATGCAGTGTCTGCGCAGTGCAGGGGCATTTCTTGGGTGCATTGCTGAGCACTGGCCTGAGGTCAGAGACCTCTGGCTTTGATCTAGCACTGGGCCTCACTGTGGCAAGCCTGGCACTGAGCTTGGAGGGAAAGCCCGCAGACCTCTTTCCCCACTGCCAGGAGGTCAGGGAGAATTCTCTGGACACGACTGTGTATTCCTCCAACTTCCCGCCCTTCCTTGCCTTTCTGGTTCAGGGCACGTGCTTGTCCCACCACGTAGCCATTCATCACGTGCCAGCCTAGAGCCACAGAGCAGAACTGGGAAGCTGGCAGCAAGAAGTTCCATGCACACCTGCCAGCCCCACAGCCTTGCTCCCAGGCAGAGTGAAGCTGAGAAGCAGGAGGAGCTGCAGGGCAGACAAGCAACTGAAGCTCCAGAAGTTACCAGAACTTTCTTGCCTCTCTGCAGGGATGCAGAGTCGTTTTCTGCTGAGGGCCATTTGGACATCAAAGCACATTCACAGGCCAGGTTTACCAACTCAGTAGTAGCCTGCTTTAGGCAAGCTGAATTCGAGTCTCCTCTGTGGTTACAAGAGTTGTGCTGCAGGAGTTGTCCAGATGATTTTGAATCTCCTATGTCAGGATGTTCCCCTCCCCTAGCGTAAACCTAGGAAAGCTGGGCTGCTTCTGCCCAGCTGAGCTCCACTCAAGCACTCATGCCCGTGATTACAGTGTAAGTTTCTGACCAGACTGAACAAAGCCACCCGAGTTGCAGCTAGAAGAGCTGCTCGGGCCTCTGTGGACCCTCTGGACCAAGGGGTCAGGAAAGGATGGGGCATTCCGGGGGAAGCCAGGGGGGCTTCCATCCTGGCTGCATGTTGGAGCTCCCAAGGGAGCTTTGATCACACTCCAGTTTCATTGGTCCTGGTACAGAATTCCTGCAGAGAATTCTAGTCTCCAGACTGCTGTACTAGTCAGCCCAACAGCACTCCACTAGGCCAAACAGTCTTGGAGACAAAATGTGCACACCTCATTTTGTTCAAAGAATCCAAAGTGTACAAATCGTTGAGCTGCAAAAAACACCTGTCTGTGCTTGCCCTGGGAGGAAACCGGAAGATCCAGAGAGAGTGATGCCAAAGGAATGGCAGTGGTGCCAAAAAGGTAAAATCTCATTACTCTGCATAAATGAGCCAAGTGGAAAACACTGGATGTGAATGTGTCTCTCACCTTTCAGATTAAAATAAGCATTTTCAATTTAGAAGAATATAAACACTAAATTATACTTCACTGTTAAAGGCAGCTTAACCCTGCACTAATACTGGCAAACACGGAGCACCCGCCCACAGGACTGGAGCCCGCTTCAGACACGAATCAGCACGGAGCCCTCTCCAGGACCAGGGCCTTCCCAGAGCAGCTGCTGTGCGGGCACACCCAGGGCCAGTAACAGGGGCACGCTGAGTAGCATCCCAGCACACCTGGGCTGCTTTCCAGGGCAGCCAGCAGGACAAGTGCAGGAGCCATCACAGCCACACCTAGATAGCCACACGAGCTGCTAAGACAGGACACAGCTTTCAGAAATGGAAAGTTGTACCGCCAAGTCATACTTGGCTCACAGTGATTACTTGGAGGATCTGAACACAAAGCATTTAGCGACAAACCCGTCCTGTGAGGGACTAGCATCCCTGGTCGTCCCAGGAGGAGTCTCGGCGCCCCGCGATGCAGGGAAGGCTGGGGTAACGTCTAGTGTGTCACAGGCAAGACCCCAAACCCAAAGATAGTTTGTATCTACAGGCATTCACTGAAAGCAAACAGCAGAAACTGAATCTTTACCAAGCATTCATACTGCTTGACGCGCTATCATTCCTGATGTCATATGGAATCTCCCTTTTATCTCTGTGTGGTTCTTTCCCTCCTCTTTGTTCTAGAGCAGTTTCCTGAGGTCTGCTTGCCCTGCGCGCTGCCCCACGCTGCACAGTGTCTACTCATGGCAGCTTGCTGACTGGGTGCTGCGCACACAGCCCAGGACTGCAGGCTCAGCTCACAGGTATGGCCATGACGGCGGCAACACCCACAGGCTCTCCAAACAAAAACAGCACAGACTTATAAACATTATTAAATTTTATTAACAAAACTTTGTACATTTTCTTTTGATACATGTGGAATTTTACATCTAGGTAAAATAACACCTTCAAAATTTACCATTTGTACAAATTGTTACAGAATAACAACCAGTGGGTTAAAGAAGTAAAATAAACCACACTGATTTTTTTTAAATTATCTACAAAAGATCTGACTTTGTTTAAAATTCCCCAGAACATATAAAAATAAATTAATTTTAATTTTCCATTAAATCTACCAATTAGAAATATTACAAATCAAAATATCAATGTTATCTTATGAATTTTTCACAATACAAAACAGATTCACAAAACTTTATTTACAGAAATGAGGTAAGAACTGTGCAATGTTTAACCAAGAGACATATTGCAGAATTAACATGTTCTTCCAGCTAAGCACACAGTGGAGGTCTAATTATAGCTGGGTCTTTTCCACTAATAATCCACACATTAAGAACAGTCCGATGATCACATCCCCAGTTGTTTAATTTACCCCTCTGCCATATCTCACAGCAAGAGCGTGGCTACCCAAAGTAGACAGGCTGTAATTTAGGTCTCACCTGTTCCAGGAAGGTAGTGGTGTGTTTGTGTTGGTTGGGTTGGTTGTTTTGTTGACTTGTTTAAATGGTCAGCAATGGGAAGAAGATTAAATGAAACAAATATATATTCTTACCAAGTCCATTCATTTTCTTGTGATTCATTAGTGGATAAATACCCAAGTACTGGTTTTGCCTGAGCTATCTACAGTGGCATAGAAAGTTTTCAGTGAAGGCGGAAGCCTGGGGAAGGCTGCTGGTGCTGCTTCCCGAGGACTCCCCGTAGCTCAGGCTCTGCTGTCTGGAGCCATCACAACAATGCAGGCACTTGTGAAGGCCAACCCCACAGCAGTGTCCAGAGTGGCCTCTCTTTCCGAAAGAAGTCTTCTGCTTTCATTGACCTCATTTCCCCCAGCAGCCTTAGAACTCAAGGACTTTTTAAAATCTGAATAGTCCTAACACTAAAGAAAAAGCACTTAGCAAAAGGAAATTGCCAGTAGCAGAAGCAGACAATACCATCCTAACTTGATTACCAAAATGGGCCAAATCCCATTAGAAGGAAATTGTTTAAACAAAGATTGCCAAGTACTAGTTGATGATCTATATTAAATATTTGCAATATTTAACCAATGAAACTCCAGAAGAAATTAATCCCTTGAAATTTGTTTTGAGATCTGACTCTGAGAGCAAGTATATTTTAATGTGAACAGAAGATCCTATTTCATATCCAGTCTGTAAAATGAAGTAGCTCGTAAACAGAACAAGTCTAGCTTTGTTGTTCACACTTCCAATTTAATGTAGCTGGTGCACATCTACTTTTGCTATAAAATTTTTTTGGGTGGAAAAACTCATTGCATATAAATTCATTGACAGAATTACTAAATTTTGTTTGAAAGATCAAAAGATGTGGGGTCAGGAAGTTCGGGAATTCCATGTTGGTGCAACAGAGCAATAAGAAAATTAAAGCCTTACAAGAACATGCTTGTAATCCTGTGTTGTGTGGTTAGTCTCTTGTTGAATTTCTTCATAGCTGTAATAAACAGACTGCAGCAGCAGCCAACGAAGTGTACCAGAACAGCAGGGGAGGTGATTTCTGGATGTTTTTCAAGTGTCAACTTTTCTCTTGAGCCACAGGCCCGGTTTTATCACTAAGTCGCTGCATTAAACAGAAAAATCAGAGGCATTAGTTGAATCAACTTGGGGTAAACATTTAGTATTTCTCAAGTGAAATTTTAACTGATAGATAAGATGTGCTGTATATGATGATTCCTTTTCTCAGCAAGTTGGCATGGCCACTTTTCCGCATAATATAAAGACATGAATTTACTAGTAGATGTTTTACAACATTAAACAGGGATTATGCAAACACAAATGAGGTGGTGTGTCCACTTAAGAGGCAGAACTTTTAAGAAATGAATGCAAAATTCATTGTAATTCACAGTTCCTCAGAAGCAGTAACACAGAATCCAGAATAATGACATTTTTTCTGGACTAAGAAAATCATAGGCTGTGATAGGACATTAACTATTTGTTTTTTTCAGCTTTAACTGTTGAGGCCCTCCTTAAAACTTAGCTGCAACATATTATTTCAAAAACTGAATTCACATTAAGCATTGGATCTAAAAAGGAAGGACCCACATTGTAGGTTACTCGGGCAGCATTACGCTCAAGCCCTGCTTTCCCGCTAGCTTGCAAATATGCCACTTTTTTACATTATTTTTTCCATGAAAAACAATTGATATTATACGATTAAAGAAAAATTATCCTACAGTTTTAACACAACAAAGAAACTAATGAACTAAAAAGGTGTCAAAGCACAAAAATATGTCTGGATCGATACAGAACTGGTGTCGTTCCCATGTCAGTAAAACTGGGGAGCAGTGACTAAGGACAACATTTCATATTTAGGAAGTTGGTGAAACAAGAGGACAAATGAAAAAGCATCCAAGAATTCATGCAAAGCAACCATCCTCTATTTCAAACCAATTCTTATTACAAAAAAAAAAAAACCCTGAAGTTTCTAAAGACTTAAAAGCACAATAAATAGAAAACTTTCAAAGTATTAGGAAATAGCAAACACTAACTTTTCTTTAACACTTTATTTGCCAAGTCTCCCAGCTTATTCTTCCCCTTCTTCCTTTTCCTGGTGTCCAGTCTCCACCCTCCATCCCAATAGCTTTCCTCTAACAGGTTTCTCTCCTGAACTGGAATTTTATACTCCATTAAAGTGGACCTAATTGAAGAGGGGAGAACTAATAAAAAGAAACAGCCTTAAAATGTGTGCTACTGCAGGTGTCATGCTGTTCCTGCGCCCATTTTTTAACTTTTACACTGATAGGGTAAGATGCTATCAGATGATTATTTAAAACTGAAATTCCATTACAAATGTTGACTGGTTTACTTTCTCTAAAAACAATCTGGTAGAATAATTGAGTTATTTCACTTAAAATGATGTTACAGATTGTTTTTAAAAGCACTTGGAAAAAAACATTCTGAAAATATATATACTGGTTCTATACACAGATTAACTAAAGCTTCTCAAAAATATCAACTATCATTTTCTCATGGAACCTGCTAACTAAATGTTTTCACTGTGAAAAGTGAACTTTAAAAAGGCCTTCAAATCTTCCATGCAAATGCTGACCGCTAGGGTTAGGGAATGTGGAAAAGTGGCGTTAAGTTCTTTGTGTTTATAATATCCAGCTGTTGGTAAAACTAGTAACAAGAATAACAGGTGATTAAAAAAGGGTGGAGAATGATCTAATCATTGATTCAATGATCAATCAATGAAATTCTTCTACAGAATAACCAGAGCATACTCACTGTGACTTTCTGACTTGGGTTCTCTCCATGAATGGTCAGAAATGGGTTGGTAGTGGCTGTGTGAAGTGGGGGCGCCTGAGTGCCTGCGAGAAGGTTGTTGATGGGAATCTGGGTTGGCGCAGGGATCTGCAGCTGTTGCAGTTCAGGCTGGTGGTGCTGCTGGTGATGATGTTGCATTAACTGATAGAGAAAGGCTTGATGCTGTTCCTTCGGCAAAAACAGGAGAAAGTTAAGGTTCCAATCACGGAAGTGAGCAGTCAGAAAAGCCAGTTCTATTTCTTTATTCCTTTAATATTAAATATGTCAATATAAGTTACAGTGTTACAATTAAGAATTTCATCTAGGAAAATGGGCTCCCTATCCACTGTATAATGTCAGGAAGCAGTTTGATTTCTAACAAGGCAAAGTATGAGAGGAGACATCTTTCCCAAAGAGGTTCTCTACAGTGCTCGGGAGAGCAACTGGCTGAGCCGCCCCGGACTGGAGCAGCTGGGTGAGTACTGCATCTGACCTGAGAACACGTGGCCTGGGGCAGACCCTCCCACCTATCCTATCCGCTCAGTCTTTAAAGTCCCCACTCGGGTAACACGAAGGATGCTTTCTTGGTAACCACCACTCACACCAAGCATACTGCATTGCATTCTACATAGACTTCTTAGGTGCTTATCATGGACCAGGCATTGTTCTAGCTGTTTGAGATTCTGTGAGTGGGAGGAGAGGTACAGAGTGAATAAGGAGACAGACAAAAATGTGACAATGTGATTATTGTGCTTGGAAGGTAATGGGAAGCTGGAATATGTGTGACAAACTGTTATAGTTAGGGTCGTCAGGCTGTAATTTGATTTCAAAAGGCAGACACAGAGGAAGAAAAAGACGCATCTATACAGTATGTCGCTCCACAGGTGCCTGCCACAGTTAGAGGTGGGCCTGAGCAATGTGGAGAGCTGAGAATTCCAGCCAGGAACCGAGCCAGGCAGCAGATACAAGTGTGTGTCTTCTGTTCCCTAAAGCACTAGGCCAGAGGGTTGCCTTCACTGGAGAGATGACCCACTGCTGATGGACTCAGCCTGGGGCGGCACGGGAGTCCAAGAGGGACTGGGTGGTGTTGGGCTTGAGGTGCTGAAAACACGGAGCTGCTGTCAGCTGGGGCCTGGAGGAAAATCAGCTGCTCACTTTTACATGGCATTCTCAGACATACATTTTGAGCTGTGTGGGTAGTTTCAGATAGAGGCCTGGCATAAATATCACAAATGGATGGCATTTAGAGATGAAGCTGAAGATCACTGAACCCCAAGGCACTCTGACAAGGCCAAAGACAATAGGGGGATTCAGGAGAGGGGTTCAGAATATGAACAGTTATTTCAGTGAGCGTGACCACAGGCATCCACCATCGGAGGGCGGCAGGAGTGTGGCTGTCAGATACAGAAGTGAACACGCTTCTGGAAGTATCCGCATTCGTTACTGGGCTGCCTGCTTCTCTGAAATTGTGCTCACATGTCTTGGGAGGCAACAGGTGATGGCCTCAGTACTGTGGGTGCCAGCCATGGGGACGCCCTGCCTGATGTAGTCTTCAGACTCTTTGCCTGGCCAAGCCCAGGCTTTGATGGGTATTTGTAGAGTGAACTAGCAGATGTAAGCTCTCTGTCCACATCTCAAACACAAAGTGAAAAAAACTTTATAAAGCTGTATACATGCCATAACATTTCTGCCTACATAAAATTTTATGTCTGTAAATGAACAAATCACGCAACGGCCTTGACTGAGGAGGGAAAAAACTGTTTAAACCCCTTTAGCTTTCATAGTCTCAGAATAATGTGTTCTGGAAATTCCTTCATTAACCATGTCTGAAAAATGAGTCATCTACATTGTTATCTTTAGAGTAAAATTATAATTAATGGGAAGAAGCCCAAGTAAGCTTAGTTTTAATATTTTATGTTAAAATGAGGCACAGGGCAGGCATGTGGCGCAGCACATCAAGATTTCCCTTGCAATGCTGGCCTCCCGTATCTCAGCGCGAAGTTGAGTCCTGGCTGCTCCACTTTCAGGGTGGCTCCCTGCTAGTGAGTTAAGAGGGGAGGATGCCCGGAGTGTTGAGGCCCCAGCTGACAGCATGGAAGACCCGGCTGGAGCTCTGGGCTCCCCGCGTCAGCCAGGCCCAGCTATAGACATGGGGCCATTTGGGGAGTGAGCCTAAGACTTCTGTCCCTCCTCTCCACTCTGCCTTTCAAATAAATCAGTTTCTCCTAAATAAATAAATAAATGAGGCAAGGGGTAAGAAAACAGATCACATTTTAATGTATTCAGAATTTATACACAATCTGTTTTTAGACCACTCTAAGAACAGTGACAGAATGATCCAGAATCAAAACAAGTTATTTCAATTTTTTCACTAAAGAAAGCACATAAATTAACTTTACAAAGAAATTATAAATAACGGAAGACCCCTTTTCACAGTGCATTCTCCGAACAGTCTAGCTGAAGCGTGCCAGGGCCAGGGAGCAGGAGGAAAGCTGCCCCCAGGTCCAGGTGCTGCCACTGTTTATGACAGCACTGCCCGCGCGTCCACCATACGTGCACGCTCTCCCCTCTCACCCCATCTGCATCACTCACTCTTTTGATACTTAAACAGTAGACATTAAGCGCTATTTCTGCAACCCTGTCACCAAACCATCTCTAGCTAGCAGCTCTGTCTGACGTGCAGGTGAAATGCTGGTATCTCGGCTTCCTTCTTAAGAATTTCCTCTTTCCTGTACCAGAACAGTTCTCTTCAACACACAAAATCAATCTACAATGTACCATACGCTGCTCTTGTCTTCAGCTGCCATTTCTCTGCTTCATAGAATCAAATGTCTTAGTGATATTTTACCTTCCCTTCTAATTTTCTTTGAACCACTTAATGAAGGCTTTTACTGCAATTACAAAGAAACTGCCTCTTCCACTAAAAGTATTTGACCCCTCATCCTTTGCTGCAGATACACTTCCACCTGGCCACCTCCCTCCATTCTCCCTCATCATTCACTCAGCACTTCTCACAGTCACTAGCTCCTCATTTCCCAGGGGGCGCAGGGCTGTCCTCATATGTGGGAGATCACATTCGCTCTCAGCATTCTCTACACAGGGATGACCTCAGCTCGTAACTCCTAACCGCACCCTGCCTGGGTCCCCCGGCTCATACCAACGCCTGATGGGTTCACTTGCACATCTAAACAGAACTCTCAAATATCTACATATAATTCTCCAAGTTATCAAGAGAAGTTACGGGACTTTAACATATGCCACTTTCTAATTTTGGTACATTTGAAAGTTTCCCTAACAGAAAGATTAGTAATAACTCAAAAAAAAATGGCTTTCCATCACACTGAGAATCTGAACCACCTGCCTTCTGGGCACACACCATGCCCGGGCCTTCCCAACTCCTACCTGCTCCTCGCATGCACTTCCTCTTGTCTCTCCCCCAAGTCAAAAAGGCACACTCCTTCAGGTTTTATTCAGGTCTGTGCTCCAAAGTCAACTTCTCAAACTGGACTAGCCCTTCCAAAATGGCACCCACCTTGCCATTCTTTACCCCCTCATCCTGCTTTCGCTTGCTTTTTTGACATTCTTCACTGCCAAAAAGCATGTGTGTGTTGTCCATCTGCCCTATCACAATGAAGTGCAGATTTATGTCTTTCACCACTGCGTTCACCCAAGCCTACCACAGCAGTGCCATAAATATGTTCTGTTTTAAATTAATGAGTAAATGTGACATCACCACAGGTATCACCAACTACACCAAAAGCAAGAAAAACTTCCTGGATAAAGGCATTCAGTAATGTGCTTTCACAAAAAGTAGTCTATACCTATATATTTAACTTATGTTCTAGTTTAGAATTCTTGCTCCTAATAAAAGTCAAATATTATCAAAAGGAAGAACTTACTGGTGTAAGCTGTTGAGAATTTAATAACTGCTGAAATTGCTGTTGATGAATAAGTATTTGTCTTTGCTGGTCAGAAAGTAATCCTAGTCCTGAGGCACTGAAAAATGATAATATACCTCTAATATAAATGAAAGACAACTTTTCAATCTGATCTTTAATAAATTAACAAATGTTTAATCATAAGCTTTTAAAAAAACAATTACATACAATTCGTTTCTCCTATATACATGTTAGCAACTAACTAGAAAAAATCACATTAAGGGTTGATTATGTACAAAATATGTACTGTCATTTTAAATAGAAATGTATGTTATAAAAAGCATATATAATTATGTTTATTCAAGGGTAACTGAGCTCATACTAAGTAATACATATTTAAAACAGAATGCATACTACTAATTGATCTGACCTCATCCTTTTAGAAGCCACGAAAATTAAGCACCAATAAAGAGAGTGCCAGAAGAAAGAGTTTAATAGTACCCATGCAGGTCCATTTAAAAATTACTCCCCAATTGTGTATTTGATAACATGACCTCAGCCCTCCTATTTTGAATGTCCAAATGAAAGTTCAGGACAGTGAAACCAAAGTTTCACTTCCTAGAAGGTCAAGATAGAGGACCTTCATCCTCTACCAAAACACTTGATTAGAAACTTAACAAAATACATAACTGAATTTGAAACCAATCTTTATCTGTATCTACGCTACTGTATTATTTTTTTCTCAGAATTTATGCTGACAGGAATATAATACATAAAAGAAAAATTAACATCACAGATCAAGACTAAACTTAGCAAAGAATATATTTAATATTTCGCTAAAGTGATTTAATTTTGTATGAATTCAAGCTGACTTTGGATGCTATACACCCAATTTAGAAGTTTTGTTGAGCTTGATTTTCTTAGAGTGCATCTACAGGTAACATTAAAAATCTCGATCTAACAAGACCAGTGCTCGCTGGGAAACATATTAGAGTAAGTTTCTTACCTGTTAGTCAGTGTAGCTGGCATTGGATGTGTTGCATTAGGTGGTACAGTTGTGTGTGTGAGAGGGGCTGGGTTCTGGGATATCGTGACAGGGGTTGGAATGACCCCATTTAAAGCTCCCACAATGCCATTGATTGCCAGTTGGTTTCCTGGCAAAGCTCCAATTATTCCACCCACTGCAGACACAGCAGGAAGGCTAGATGTCACAGTCTGCATCCCACCGGCCAGCGCGCCCACTGCCACACCATTGACCTGCTGGACTCCACTGACTCCTGAGCCTGGCTGAGCTGGACTCTGCCCAGCAGGAGGCGGGGTTGAAAGAGCTGATGAACTGCTGGTGCTTTGCCCACTGGAGGTTAAGTCCTGATGCAAGAAAAAACACAAATTGTAAAGAACATTGCAAAACTTTAACCATTTGCTGTAACTGTTCACAAATAAAACAAATGAAAAATTGTTACGTAAAAATTACCTGATTTAAAACAGGAAGAGAATTATCAGGTAAAAAGCTGTTTCCTATATGAGGGCTCTTACTGCTGTTCAAAGAGTCAGTAGTAGGGGCTAGAATAATAAAATACAAAAAAAAATCTGTTTATCATGTTAAATTGTAATAGGTATAAGATTAAAGGCTTATGTAAAAGCTTATTAAGTGTGTATTAAAGACATTGTTAATATTATGTTTAGCCAAAACCAGTTTGAACAATATTTTATCTTTTAGTTAATGAGGTTATTACATATTTGAATCAATTTAAATAATTATATTAGGTACTAAATAAGGCAGAAGAAATTCAGGTTTGACCACTAAATATGATTCTTTATACCCTTAAAAATAAACTATCAGAGCTGGCATTGTGGCATAGCAGGTAAAGCCGCCACCACCACCTGTAACATCGTCATCCCATATGGGCGCCAGTTCGTGTCCCAGTTGTTCCACTTCCCATCCAGCTCCCTGCTAATGTGCCTGGGCAAGCAGCAGGCAGATGGCCCAAGGCCTTAGGTGCCTACACCCACATGGAAGACCCAAGAAGCAGGCCCACCTCTGGCCCTTGTAACCATGTGGGGAATGAACTGCAGATGGAAGACTCTCGCTCCAGCTTTCAAATAAAGAAAATACACTTCTAAATAAATAAATAATCATTTCTTTTCTACAGGTTCATGTAACAGGTTACTAGTAACTGGTTCATGACCAGTAGGTTACTAGTCAATTTTTGCACGAATATCATTGCTTTATATACAAATTAAACCTTATGCTCACCAGTCTGTGCTGAGAATGCATGAATTTGATGAGACGGACTAGGGTTTGTTGTAATTGTTGGAAAAGGCACTGAAAGCTGTGCATTTAGTAACTGGAGACGCTCCTTTTTGGCAGTCAAGTTTTTAATTTGCTCCTCTAATCTTCGATTTTCAACTTGTAGTTGGTGTAATGATTTCAACATTCCTAAAACTAGCAAACATTTGGATGGTTTTCAACAAAGTCCACACACTAAGCATTTTAAGGATGCAGTATAAAAATAAAATTCTCTAAAATATACTAAATGATTACAGTTGATTCCTGAATATATGTATATAAACAAATTTTCTTCTTTAGTATGCATATGACAAATATGTTTTATTAATAAGATTTAAAACAGAAGGGGATTATTAATGACAATACAAAAGGCTTATTTTGAAATCTGAAATGCCATGATTTTATTCATTAAAGTCCTGTTTACAATGGGAAAGGATCACACTGACACCCTTTTCCACAACCAAGAGCGCACGTTCTGCTTGTTGCTCACTTAGCAATGAGCATGCCCTCAGATCCCATTTCAGCTGCTGTTGGTGTGCAGGCTGCCCAGCAGGGAGCGCTGTGTGTGCACCCGTGCCTCTGTCAACAGGCTTGCTGTCCGATCCCATCTCTTCAAACACTGAATTCCTTTTACTCGGATCTCCCAACTGGCAACACGGAGTGCGGCTGTTAGGCCACAGTGATGGACACGCTAGAAATTCTATGTATTAAAAAGTTATATTTGTTTAAGATGACCTCAGGGCCTTCAAAAGACAAAACTCTACTGGTACTGACACATATGGTCATTTCCCAAGGATTTAACTTTGATCCCTCCTCAGGATCCCACAAAGAAGCCCTTAGTGCATCCAAATGAGATGTAATAGGACAGCTAAACCTGTCCTCAAGCAATCACGTTTAAAGGATTAGCCTGGCATGAATTTCCTCAAAATTAGCATTTTGGGGGGGGGGTCAGAGAACCATTCATAAAAATATCTATTTATGGCACTTAGGCCACTTAAACAATAAGCAAAATTGTTTATTTTAATAAAATAAAGAAGCAATAGTTTGTATTTAAATCAATGAAAACAATATTTTTCTTCTCCCCAAAACATTCTTCCTTAACCAAACTACAGGCCACCTCTGCAGCTAACCAACACCTGTTAACTCTTTTAGGCACTAATCAGGCAAAGCTCTAATAGTTAAAACTGTAAACATTAAAAGCATATGTATAAACCTTATATCACACAACTTAACAAATATGATAAATTATATATATAACTTTATATATAAATTCAGTAATTATTTTTCTCCTCCAAATTGTAAAATGTAAGAAACTGGCTACACCTGATTATATGCAAATATAGAAAAATTTTCCAGAGGTTTTCCTTCCATTGAACTAAGAAAAGCCTGAGCTCCTGTTCGTCCGCCCAGCTTTATCAGACAAGAGCGTGACTACTTACTGTCACTAGGAGTCCCCTGCTCCAGCAGGAACTGCTGCCCTTCACTCCACTGCCTCTCCAGAAGCTGCTCTATGCTCGCTGCGACTGGAGGCAGATTTTCTAAACTGCTGCTGCCTGGTTGGTCATAGCGAAGCTGTAAGCTGCTGCCAGGCGATCTGTTGGAAATCAAGGAAGAGAATGCTTTCAGCCGAGGGCATCCGGGCTTCCTCCCTGTGCTGACCCCTTTTCCTGTACAGGTTCCTAACACCAGACTGCCTATGCCATAAGTCTGGAGTTCCTGGATTGATAAAACCATAATCTACCCTAAAATTGAGTAATTATCATTCTTCCTCCCCCAAATTGTAAAATCAAGGAATAGCTGACCATATTAGATAATTAGAAACCACTAGAAAATATAAACATGCCACCAATAATCTCAGAAATGGCCTGTAAAGGAAATTCAATGTGGTATGGCTTTATAAGGCAAAATGGAAAAGACCAGGGTAGAAAGACGAGCCAGCAGATAGAGTCGCACTCACCTGCCTTACAACAGAGCGTATCAGCACAGTACAAGCAGCTACAAAACTACGCAATCTGGCTTTATGATCAACAACATCCCCACAGAAGTAGGTGTTTGGACGCCTGCACTTCACTCAGAGCCTGGGCTGGGCTCCTAGCTGAGGCTGCCGATTCTACCTTCCTGCTGATGCACAACAGCTACGCTCCAGTAACTGGATTCCTGCCATCAACAGCGAGAACTGGCCTGAGTCCCTGGCTCCTGGCCTCGGCCTGCCACCAGCTGTTGCATCTGGGGAGTGAGTGACCCATGGGACTGACACTCTGTCAGGAAGCCTTCTATGCATCTGTGTGTGTGTGTCCACAAAAAATAAATAATAAATCAACTAGAAGCTTGTGTATGTGACTACTTCACAAAACTAATCTTTTAAAAACTAAAAGCTTGCCAGTTCAGCTTTAAAAGCCAAATACAATCCAGTAAATTGTTTTCAAGCTTTTGTCAGAAATTTGAAATCACTTATCTGCAAGATTTTTTCATAAGAAACATTGTCAAAAGCAATTTTTACTGCACTCTTTTTTTCCATTTTATTTATTTTTATAGGAAAGGCAGATTGACAGAGAGGAAGATGTTTCATCTGCTGGTTCACTCTGCATGCGGCCGCAACGGCCGATCTGAAGCCAGCAGCCTCTTCCGGGCCTCCCACGCGGGTGCAGGGTCCCAAGGCTTTGGGCTGTCCTCGACTGCTTTCCCAGGCCACAAGCAGGGAGCTGGAAGGGAAGTGGGGCCGGCGGGAATAGAACTGGTGCCCATATGGGATCCTGGCACATGCAAGGTGAGGCCTTTCACTGCTAGGCTACAGCACAGGGGCCTTTACTTGAGGCCTCCCCTCGAGCAGGGTGCCTGGCACAGCTCACTCACCTCCTCTACAAAAGCTCTGAAGGTAAGAAAACAGACGGAGCTTTTTCTCCCATGTGTAAACACCGTGTGCTACATGAAGTTGACTGTCCCTCCTGAAGTAATATGTTACGCCTGTACACGTCACGCTTTCACATTTTAGAGTGATTTTGAAAGGGCAACACAAGAGTTGGAAATATACGCTAAAAATACCACTGAGCCACTTATGTAGTAAGATCTGTTTAAACAAAAAAAGAAAACACACTAGACAAAGGAAAACTAAAAATTCTGAGTAATTTCTGGAAAACTTTAGTGATATTTTCAGTTCAAAAAGGACACAAAGTTGCGGCCCCTCCACAAAACACTATGAACAAAAAGTTCAGTAAATTTCGTTTTTGGGAAAAAAAGAATGATATGATAGACATACCACAATATAAAGCCAGAAGCCAGTCGGATAACTCTATCACTGTGTGCATCAGGATGCTGGTTTTAAACAGGGATGTTTAATATCCTGTAGTATTCAATCAGCAAAAATACTACTTTTAATTTACTCAGGAATTATCAAGGCAGACACCAGGAGAAGTACCATTATGAAACAGAAAGATCCGAGATCAATGCATGAACCTGTACCATGACAACGAGGATGTCCCTTCACCGACATTCCACCAAATAGATCAGTAAAACAGCAATACTGTTGTTGGGTTTTTCATCATCTAAAAATGTTTAATTTTTAATAGACATTCCTCTACACTTGAAAAAAAGACCACGGAAAGACTCTTTCATCTTGCTCTCTACCCTCGCCCAGTCTAATGCTGCGCCGAGTTTGTAAAATTATGGAACAAAGGAAAAACAAACCAGAAAGTGTGTAAATTGAAAACAATGGAATAACAAAGGTAGCCATCACTGAAGCTGCACTGTCTTCTATACCACTATCAGTTTGATAATTTCACATTTCTTAATTCATAAACGGTACCTGAATGCTGCCCTGTAGAATTTAACACAGTTTTACAAGCCATATAATACCTTTGCTATACTTTGATTCAAACACTATAAGAACTAGGTGGTGAGACTGGCCAGACAAGCTTTGTTTATGGAAACAGGAACTAGAGAATATGGAGTTAAAAACATCGCTCAGAGCAGAACTAAACCTAGAACCCAAAGTTCAAAGCTGTTTGCAGCTTTAAGAGATTTTAAGAGGGTTCTGTGTACTAAATCAATTACTTGAATCAAGGAGTTAATAGTATCAGCAGCTAAATATATAGAATTTGAATTGACTGGAAGCATAAGAAAAAGGTACTTCTTTTAGGTTGAAAATCTAAGCATGTGTTTAAATTAATACCCAAATTAACTGGAGAATCATTTTTCTTGGCTGTCTTCTTATCTGCAGAATGCTTTTACAACCTCAGAAATGTACACTCTACTGATAGCAGATAACAAGGTTTCCAAATCTCCAAACCTTTCCTTTGCCCGTACTCAGCAGAGTAAACAGCACTTACCGTGGGGAGAGACTTCCTCGGGGTGAGCTTCCTCTGCCGACCAGGCCGCGGCTATTGTCTCCAAGATCTGGATCTGCAGTGTAAATATTTCAGAGCTGATAAAGTGACATTCTCACCAGATCAGCAGTTTTAAGCTCTGGCCCTGATTCCTACTAACACACACACTCACCCTTTCCTACTCTCTGCAGTTCCTATGAAAGTAGAAAACGGAGCATGTTGCTAGTTTAGAACTGCTGAACTGTGGCGTGTAAGGCGTTGTCCCTACACGTTTTTGTGGGCGTAGAAGGCCATGGATTATGTTCTGCTCTTTCATTCCTTTCAATTTTACAGCACAGAAGCGTGGTTTGCATTTGCAGTACCCTCCCCTCAGCCACTTTTAATTTCTACGGTTAAAGTAATGAATCACAGCTGTGGACAGCTCATCTGTATGCTTATCACAGCAAATCCTTATGCTTTGTATTTTTAACACTTTGCATCCCAAAGCAAGTTATAAAGTGTATTTAGAGAGAGCTGCCCAGGAGAAGCGATCTCTTACATAGATCCTCACACCAAGAATTTCCAAGCCAACAAAAAAGAGGACACTACAGAATTCTGTATGTAAAAGGAAACTGTTTAAATTCTCCAATACATTCCTTATCAAATACCAGATATCTCTCCTTGAAAGTAACTTGTATTTTCCAGCAGTTAGTTCCTCCTTCACCCTCTCTGGCCTCTGACAAGGCTGTGGCCCCTTACTCTGAGGCAGGTAACCTCTGACCCTTAAAGGGTAAAGACATGACTGATCCATTCTTGGTGAACTGCTAAACCCATTCCCTTCCCCCAAACAGGCATGACTGCTTGGACATGTCAACAAATCCTTAAGGATGGAATGAAACAAAGCAAATCCAGTGGCTCATTAAAACAGTACAAGAGGCAAATGCTGCAAAATGTCAACTGGTAAAATTTTACAGGATTACTAAACACTGTAGAAATTCTCTAACAGGATTTTTGAAAAAGAAAAAAAAAACAACAAGTTTGTGTAATGCAATTTCATGAATTATGCAAATAAAGGTTTAGGCTATTCACAGCAGAGCCCAGTGTTCAGTTACTCTCTGTGCAGGGAGCTGAGAAGTGAGCTCGCAAGCCACCGCCTCAGGAGCCTGGCTGTGTCCCTGCTGCCCCAGGCCCTGCCTCAGCACTGCCACTTCAGACAGACACAGCGTACCACTCGCTTCCCACTGGCATTCTTCAGCTTAAGAAAAAAGACACAATTCTCAGTTAACCACAAATAAAATAGGTTAGGAAGAGGATGGGTGAGGCAATTACACTGGGCAGAATACAATTTTAGAGTCGAGTAATTCTTGGGAACTTACCTGTTTGACTATTTTCAGACTGAGCTATAAGAGCTGCCATGGATGAAGTTGTACTTAATCTACTGCCATACATATGAGATGGTGCCTGACTGAGAGAGGCTCCAGTCAGAGGATTTGCCTGAATGGAAAGAATTGTAAGTTAAAATATCTGAATATCTAATGTATTTAGTAATTATCTATAAAAAAGTAATTTTTATTCTTACTTGTTTAGCAACTGAACATGCCAAATTTTGAAAAAAATTGTATCACTACAAACTAAAGAAGAAAAAATGCCACACTGAAAGTCAAGTATTCTTGCTTTTAATTCTTAAAGTAGCTGTTGATACTGAAGCCTAGAGGCCATGTGGACACACAACTAAGTACTTAATCTTATTAAACCATTTATAAATAAAATAAGGCAGGGAGACAACAGATTATTAACAAAATATCATAATCTCTTGTATCCCAAGGTAGTTAAGGAAGTCAAAAGATCCAACTTCTACTCGTATGTTAACTCTATGGAGCCATCTTCCCACTGCTCAACTATGTCATTAGTAAAACCTGCACACTATTTTGTTACTTCCTATTTTGGTAGAGTTGGAAGCCTGCTGCTTTTTCTGTTTTGTTTTGTTTTGATTTTAAAAGAAAGCAAACAGGCATCACAAGTATGTTTTCTATACAATGCACGGCTCAACGAATCACGGCTTTGCCCTGACCCCATATAAGGCACTGTCGTCTTGGCAGAAGGCCAGCTCAACTAACTGAAGAGCTGGTCCAAAGTTTGTAATTCATTCATGTTGCTAACCACAATTCTGAAGGCCTCTCCTGGGAGCTGTGCCAAACAAGGGAAAATGAACCCTTAAACAGATGAAGCTAAAGAGGCTGGCCAAAGTATTGCATAATCCAATGTAATAAAAATGCCTTCTTTGATCTGCACTCTCTCTCCCACTTTCCAAGAATATTATAACCTTCAAATATGGCATTTTGGAGCAAATCTCCCATATACAAAGTACTGTTACTCACTGGCCCGAAAGAATTTTCAGACTTAATAGAACCACAAATTTCAAAGCAGATGTCTTTTTCATGAATGAAATCAAGCACAAGCTTTATCAAATAAAATCACTGCGTATTATTTCAGAAGTAAAATAAAATCTAGGAAACAATTACAAAGAACCAAAGCACTTCTACTATCAAGCTGAGTAACAGTGGGACAAAAGATGTGGTACACTGTGACAGGGAGAACTGTCACAAGAGACAAAGATACAGTACTTGGAACAAGTAGATATCATAGAGAATCATATCCTGAAATTATATCTCTTTTTTTAAGACTTATTTTTATTTGAAAGCCAGATATACAGAGAGGAATATCTTCCATCCATTGATTTACTCCCCAAGCGACCACAACAGCCGCAGCTGCGCCGATCCGAAGCCAGGAGCCCAGAGCTCTTCCAGGTCTCCCACTCAGGTGCAGGGTCCCAAGGCTTTGGGCTGTTCTAGACTGCTTTCCCAGGCCACAAGCAGGAAGTTGGATGGGAAGTGGGGCTGGTGGAATTACAACCAGAACCCATATGAGATCCCAGCGTATACAAGGTGAAGACTTCAGCTGCTAGGCTGTTGTGCCGGGCCCCTGACATTACATCTTGACCTTTATCCAACTTACTAACCATGAAAAATATACTTTTGCAGTTCACAGAAATAATCTGCAAGATGCAGAATCCTCTCCTTGCTTTTCAATGTTTAAGAGTATACTTCAAGGTTCACATTATAATGGTGAAAATCCAATGTGCCAATTTCTGGTTTCACTTTTCCTATTACAGGTACACATTCAAAGTCAATACATTTGTCCCACAAAGTCCTACTTAGCAATCAAGTAGCCTTCAGTAGTAAAAAGTCATTAATTTCCACCTAAAGATCAACCACACGTAAGACACTTAGGATGCAGTCAGAGAGGACCATGTAAAACACAATCCCTAAATGACTAAGATACAGATTTTTTTTCACGTCTCCTGAACTGAACTGGCAATCTTAGCTGCTCATAAATAGCTTAGAACAAAAAAAAAAAATACAAAAACCAACTCAGAAAAAACAGATGTCACCAGTTTCATGTGTTAAGGTCTCAGGTATCTCAAACTGAAAAATGAGAGCCAAAATAACTCCTATTGTAGACACAACTTTGATCAACTAAGCATATATAACCCAGAAGTAGAAACAAGGAAAAAACATAAGCTCTTGAGAAAGTTCGTTGGTCAAATAATAGCTGACACTTAGAAAGGAGAGAGGAATATGAGTGAGCGTGAGGATCCTGCAGGCCGTGTGGGCAGGAGGACCAGGCCGTCCCCCGAACAGGCAGCCCTAGATGCCTTAGCACCTGCAAAGCAGCCCAGCTTGTTAGCTGCTGGCTCCCCATCCTCATCCAGTCACCAGTGTTGTAAAACAGACTGACACCGCAGCACCTGCAAACCTTTTCAATATCAATCACTGGGCAACAGATAAGAATCAAACTGTCCGACTCAGCAGAAACACACTTTTTGTAGAAGGATTCCTTCTGCCAGGGACTTCATATTAATCCGTCTATCGGCTTCAAATTTCAGAGCGCACAAAGTTTTTCTGATCAAGTCTTCACACCATCCTATTGTCCTATCAACCCTTGGGCTAGTAAAGATCAAAGCAGAAAGCACTACAACATCATAACTGATTTGCATAATGACCATGAACAGACAGAAAATTTTTTAAATTTTAGCATATCACAAAACAGGAAATTTTTACTAAACTAAAATTAGAATATTACCTTGAATGACTGATTTCCCAAGCTACTGAAATAGCTTTTTAAAAATCTGATATTTATGTTTTAAAAATTTTCATTTCTACAATACAGAGTTCAAGTAAGTTATTAGTTTTATTAGAGTTGTTTTGGAATTAAAACCATCTAAGGCACTCAATTCATGGGTAACTCAGGGCCAGGACTGTGGCACAGTATGTTAAGCTGTCGCCTACAATGTCCTCATCCCACATGGGCATATGTTGAGTCCTGGCTGCTTCACACTCCACGCAGCTCCCAGCTGATGTGCCTGGAAGAAGCAGGGGAAGCTGCTCCAATTACGTGGGTATTGACCACACAATGAGACCGGGATGGAGTTCCAGATTCCTCTGTGGCCACTGGGGCAGTGAACTGGCAAATGGAAAGCATGTATCTTTGTTTCTCCTTTTCTCTCTGTAACTATACCTTTCAAGTAAATAAGAAATTCATAAAATAAATAAACTGGGTAGCATGTTACCAATGACTTTACAAATGTCACATGCACTGCTAGGGCATATGTGGAATTGGTTAATGCTGGAACCTAGAAGAACCTCTCTATTGATGTCTCCAGGCCAAAAAAAAAAATCCTCCCACATTTTAAATTTTGAAGTTTATTGACAATCATATAGACACAGAGGCCATCATTTTTTAAACTCATAAGTCTTTGTTATTAATAATTGAAAACACTATGATACAGGAGGAAGGAGAAAAAGTCCATGTTAATAAAATAGTTAATTTAGATAATGGGCTCTGAAAGCATTTATGGAACCTTCCTACATACATGCTTCCCTACAGGATACTGTTCCTGTGATATGGGATTTTAGAAAGTAGACTGAAAATAAATGACTAACATGTCAAAAGCGCACTTCAGAAAGTATGATGTAAACACTGGAAAATCTCTTTGGAGGGAAGTACCTGTATTTCCTGACATTTCAGTGTAATTCTGCTCAGGTAAGGAAATTGGCTTTTTTGGACAGATACTCTTGGATCTACACTGGTATTAAAATAACAGGACTGCTGACACTAGAGACAAAGCGAAAGATATTCATGATCTATAAATTCTTATAATACAATTGCAGTCTTAATAAGCATCAGAAATATTATTTCAAGAAAGTAAGTTATTCCTGACATAATAATTTTCTCTTTTAACCTGTAATATATGGTCTTTCTTAAAGAAGCCCCTTACCAAGATAAATAACCCAAAGGAAACAACTCCCCTTCAAGATGTTATGACATTTACTCCAACGCTCTAGCACAAGACCAAGAGAAGTGTTACTTTATATGTGCACGCAAGACTAGTATGTCAAAAATAGGTTAAATGATTACAAAGGTATATAAACTAAATCATAATCAAAGAAAATGTTTACATGTCCCCATTAAAGAATACCTTATTTAGAAGTTCAGAATATAGAAAAAAATGCAACAGATCCAACAAGCTAGTTCTTAAGAAATCTGACTTGCCACAGTAAACATGAACAAGATGAAATTATTTTATTGCCAGAATTTTTCTCCTACTAACATTCATGTAACTTTTACATTTCAAATGTATACTTATGATCAAGAGATATTTTTAAAGAGCTCAAGTTGTAAAATAGCTGCTTGAACAAATTCCTAGGCACTTGGCTCCTTCCAAATGAGTCAGCTGTGTGTAAAGACAGTTAAGCTAAGATTACTCAATTATCTGAATAAAAAACTTAAAAGTGAGTATTGTTTTGGGTAGTCTCCCTTTACCTAATGTTAAAAAGCAAAATTATAAAGAAAAACAGGAAGCAGGGTTTAAAGAACAATACCTGTGAAATTTCACATCTGGAAAGTATTATAGCAATAAATCATCTAGAGGTGAATTTGAAACTGCATACTTCAATCATACAGTGCAAGTTACAGCAAGTGTTTTTTAAGATGCATAATTAACTTGTCAATATACATTAAAGTCAAATGGTTAAACAATCTCTAAAATAGAGCAGCTTCTTTAAGTTTCCCAGGCCTCACATTTAAGTATTTTTAGATTTCTTTCTTTGAAAGAGAGACAGATGGACAGACAGGTAGAGGAACTCTTGCTTCAGCTGGTTCACTCCCCCAGACAGCTGCGATGGCCAGGGCAGGACCAGGCTGAAGCCAGGACCAGGCTGAAGCCAGGACCGGGCTGAAGCCAGGAACCAGGAGCCTCATCAGGGCCTGCCAAGTGGTTGCAGGGACCCAAGTACTCACACATCTGCTGCTGCTTTTCCCACAGCAGTAGCAGGGAGCTGGATGGACTGCAACCAGCGGCCACATGGGTTGCTGATGTCCTAGACAGTGGGCCTCACAAGCTAGGCCATAATGCCATCTCCTTACATGCACTT